CAATAAAGGCTATTGTTGAATGAAGCAAATAAGCGTTCTTATGCGTCACATTTCTTCCATGTGGGTTCTTTTGTTTCTCTTTTTCTCCTTGGCGATTCTCAGTAAAACCCACAAAACAAAAAGAGCTGTGGGATTATCATTAGGAGGAGGAAAGAAGTGAGCCTCTGTGTGCCTTGGCCTGGAAACAGAAAACTCCAGGGAACAGAGTACATCATAGCAGGGTTAAAAAGAAACCCAAAGCTGGCCAAGACTTTGAGTTTTTGGACAAGAGGAAAGGAAGCTCATGGGAGCTGGCTGGGGTTTGAGGAGAAGCTCTTGGGGCCAAGAGTGAGGGAAGGGAGCTTGAGTCCCCAAACAGGGGCTTTCTGGTCATCCTGGAGCCAGAGAAGACACAGGCCATTGGTTGTGGGGGAGGGGAAAGAGAAGGGACAATGACTGTTAAGGCAGACTGGAGTTGGAGGTGAGCATTGCGGCTGCTTTACACATTGCAGAAGACCGGCCCCTTTCTCACTTCCAAATTGGGCTATTTTAGGAAAAAAACAACAGAAACCTTTGTGATTCTCCTCTATTTAGAGCTGCCAGTGATTCGACTCAGGCAAGGTACCCTCACGGATCACAGGATAGAGATTTTAAGAGTTGGGCTCTTGGAATCTCAGAACGCGAGGATGGGCTTCATGGGCGTATGACATAAGGGCTGGATAGCAACTTCTAGAATGACCTTCCTGGCATCTTCCCCCACTCACAGAAAGGGCTGCTCACAATCTATTAACAAACTTGGCTCTCATTAATAATTCTTTGAACTGACAGAGCAATCCTAGCTGATTGAAAATAATTATCAGCCTCTCTAAATGATTAAACGGCATGTTTGGATTTTCACTTATATAATCATTTTGATTGAATGATGTGTATGTGTGTGGGACTGTGTATTAACAAGGTATCTCTTCAAAGTAATAATAAATACTCGCTGAAAAAGAGTTGCGTATTGCTCAGCGTAAAAGGATAAAGAGGCCTAGGGCAGGTGAGCAAAAGAACAAAATCAGGACCTAAAATAAATTATGAGAGACAGACTGGGGCAGAGATAAAGTTTCATGGGAGTAAGTGATAAACACATAGAAAAATACTTATGACGTTCTGAGCATAGCATCAGAAGATTGAAAATTCTGGTCAGCATCAACAAACAAGCAGTGTAATTAATCTGGAACAGAAAGAATACCACAGATGTTTAAAATTATTTTTTTTTCTACTGACTCAGTCTCCTGCATATTTACAAATTGAAGGTTGCAGATTAATAGCCCCTGAGATTCGTGCCCAATGGGCCCTGCTCCAGGTTTGTGTTTGCACTCAGTGACATCCTTCTGGATTCAAACTATTTCCCCTAATCAGAATATAAGAAAAATTAAAGCCTAAACCTGCTTTGTCTCACAATGGCCTCCCAAGTATATTCTGTTAAGGATTCACTCAGCAAGAATAACAAACAAAACTCCCACCAGAAAGTGCGGCATCTTACAGAGGTGGTGCAGGCTGCCATTCCTTGCTAATGCAAGCTTGGTGCAGCCTCATTCATAACACAATAACACTAACTCGTTTCCACCTGGTTCATTTGAATTCTGATTTTGCTGCATGCCTCCATCTGGATTAGCTCAACAGATTTTAAATGCTAGGGAACAGATTATGCAAACATGTAAGTTCATAACACTCCGAGGACATTTTATTTCACAACCCCAAGGAGTAGGCAAATATTTCATGGAGAGGTAAACTAAGTCACCAAGCTGTTTTGCTGGTGGTTTCAGGTCTCCCGACAAGTCGGAGGCAAAACAAACACTAATATCTTGGCCAGAATGGGAAATTCTGCAAGATGGTGTTAAGCACTGCCCTCTTGCAGGTTGTTTTCTTTTTCTTTTTTTTGAAGTAGGCGCCACACCCAGCGTGGAGCCCAATGTGGGGCTTGAACTCACAACCCTGAGATGGAGACAAGAGCTGAGGTCAAGAGTTCAATGCTCAACTGACTGAGCCACCCAGGTGCCCCTCTTTTCGTTTTTTGTTTTGTTTCTGTTTTTGTTTTAGTGCTTGTTAAACATGAAATTTTTTTCTGGAAGGGCAGTGAAAAACAGAGTAACTCCAGTGGTTTAGAAGGAGCCCCATCTTATCCCCGGGAGGCTTTCCTGCAAGGAGTGCTGGCTGATGGAAATCCAAGAGAGCTCCAGTCATGGACTATGGTGATGGCGGAGTGGCTCAGGTGGTTTACGGGGCGGAGGGGGTGCACAGAGACACGGCAACCCCTGCCAGACCCTTTCTAACTTGGAGGGTTGATCTCGCTCCTCTGGCTTGAAACACCAAGTCTCATGTGGGGTCTACACATATACCAGCCATCGCATAAACAGGGAAGGCAGATATAATTTGCTGAATGGTGAGCTCCCGGATACTGCCTTCTACTTCCTTGTTGAAGCTGGCTGATTAGAAGCCAAGTCTTTGGTTCTTTTTCTCTGAAGTTAGCAAAATAGAAGATGGTGAGAATAGATTAAAATGTTCTAAAAAAAAAAATGCCTCGTCTCTAAAAATTATGTATTCACAATTTAAATATTATCATGTCTTAGGAGTCTTGTCCACATTTACTTTCAAGACGCGAAAGGTATTCTGAACACACATAACGTAAGCAGAAAGCGTTCAGAGAGATCCTGAGACATCATCTGTCTACCGAGGAGCCAGAATAGAAATAGAAATAGAAACCAGGTATAAAAATAATTTCTCAAAGTCTCTGGCCTACAAAAGAGACATTTGGTTGTCACCAGTAATCTGGCCCTTCCTCCTTTGCCTCCGTAGCTCCTCTTAATCATTCTCATCTTTTCTAGTCTCCCCAAGTCCCTAGGGTGGGAGAATATCAGCAATTATCTCTAACAGCCCCATTTAGGTAGTGTTTACATAACAACAGGAAAGTGTTCCGGGAAGGAGTTCACTGTTGCACTGGGGTGTAAGCACCAATTCCTTCACTTAAGAACCAGTTCTTCTTTACAGAATGTTTCATCAAAATGTTTATTTCGAACAGGAGCCTCAGCCTCGGTGAGGGGTGTTTTCCACGTAAAAAAGCTCTCTGATTGGATAAGAGCTGGCCTCACCCAGGGTGTCCTAAAACTCTTATCTTTTAACACATTTTCTAACTCCTTTTAGACAAAAGAAGGAAACCAAAACAAAATTGGGGCTAACAATATGGTTAGGAAGATAGGGCATCGGCGTTGTACTGGGGACACACGTTCCTGTGAAAACGAAAGAAACGCAAAGGGGAGAATCGTTTGATTTCCTAACGCCCAGAGTTGGTGGGACTTAAAATGAGCCTTCCTCAGTCGACAGATGTGGGACTTGGGAACCACACGGAGCAGAGCAACTGATCATATTTTCCAAAAACACTTGGCTTCTGATCCAAGAGCTGATCAAAACATTCCAAGGCAGATTTTTCTAGATATTCCAGAAAAAAAAATCCACTATTCTCTTTCATTCCAAAATTCCACTGTTCACATTGCCTGGCAGTCCTTTCTGTTATTCTGATATGGTATAGATTTCTGTTCAGTTTCTCAAGCTGGCTTGTTTAGGACAGGCCAACTTTTTGGCCAAGTGCGCTAGGTGGGTGAATATTCCACGAGAGAATCTGGGGTCTGGCTCTGGCTAAAGGGGACCCTAACTCCAGCTAGGGACAAACCTCTGTAGCTGCGAACATAGGCCTTCATATTTAGCACTGAGGACCGTTTAGCAAACAGGAGTCCGAATTGTAAGTAAGGAGCACCATGTTTTCTGAAGCTACCATGTCCCCGGCTCGTCTCGAGAGATGCAGGGGACAGCTCTGTCTTTGGGATGCCTTCTCCTGCTGCACTTTAAGCTCGCCTCATGTTCTTTCAGCAAATCCACTAGATTGTCCTTACTCTTTCCTTTCCCTTCTTTTTTGGCATCTTAATTTCCTAGTCATTTCAAGTTCTGTGGTTTTCAACTTTCTGCCCCACCCCCAGCTCTAATCCCCTAATCCCATTTCAACCAAGTATTTCGGTCTTTGGTCTCTCAACTTTCTTCCTGTACTTTTTTTTTTTTGCGTTGGGAAGTTTTAGCCTTATTCCCAAAAGTGCATTTTGCTTATTTGGACATTCAAAAATGAACATCTTCTAGTTTCTAGGAGACTGTTTCTTTCCCTTCTTTTTTTGTTTTTATTAATCACTAAACTTCCTGAAAGAGGTCTATACTTAGCCAATACTCAGTGTCTTCACATCTCATTAACCCCTCAACCCATTACAGTCTAGTTTCCGCCAACACCACAATTAAAAAGGGTTTCTCACCAGCATCTTTCTCATCAGCCAGTTCAATGGTCTCGCTTTTCCTTGTCACCCAACTTGACGTTTATGCAACGTTTGACACGGTTGACCAGCCACTTCTTACTGAAACTCTTTCCCTTCTCCTCGTCTTTTGATTCTATCAGCTCTGCTCTCTAAGCTTGCTTCCGGGGCTGCCTTCGCTGCTTCCTCCCACCTTTTGATGTTGTTTTTCCGGGGGACCTCTCTACGTTTTGCGCACAGGGCACACACTGGCCTTGTTCTTCAGTTGTTCAACAACCCCAGATGCGCTGAGCAAGTTGTCTGGCTTATCATTTCTCGTTGAACTTGGCTCATAATTCTCAGAACCTAAAGGACGTTTATGCGGCCTCCTCCTCCTCATCATCATTAAATTCCTTCTGCCTTTGCTCTTGCTGTGTTTTTGGCTCACCCTGTCCCTCCCTCACCCTCCCTGCTTGGAGCACTCCTGCTCATTACTCAGAGACCAGCCCTCCTGTCACCTCTATGTCCTCTTCAGAACATTATCTGTTACCCTCAGGAAGAGTTCCTTGTTATTTCCTTTTGCCTTTTGAAGCATTTTGATAGTGATAATGACTAACATGAATCAAGTTGGTAGGTGCCAGTCTCTGATCTAAGTCCTTCTCATGGCTGATCTCCTTCAATCCGCACAGCAGCCTCTGACCCACTTACTTGTATCGTCCGCCATGTTCGGATGAGAAACCCAAGACTCAATGTAGTAAGTGGTAGGTTCCCACAATCAAGTTTCACACCCAGGCAATCTGAGTCCAGGATCCTAATTCTGCCTTCTCAAATAATAGTAGCTAACTTTTACCGACTGTTCACTTTGTGTGTGGATGTCTGTGTGTTCTCTCATTTCACCCCCAGAACACCCTCATCAAGTAGTACAATTATTGTTTCTATTTTATGAATGAGGGAACTGAGGCGCAAATAGACCAAGCAAGTTGCTTATAACTGCACAAGAAGTCAGGATGCTCTTTATTTGCCCCTGTTATGGAACTTCTCAAATTGTTCTACAATTAACTACTTAGAAGGATACTTGTCACCCTTCTGTCAGCTCCTTGAGTACCCAGATGATGTCCTTGTCAACTTTTTAGCCCCTGTATCTCATCACAGAATGGAAGTTCCATAAATGTGGAGAGAGAGACTGATAAACATATTGGCTATTATTGTCTTTGGGTAATTTTCTAGGACAACTGGCTTGCACCCACTTTGTTACATGTTTTCCATAGCAAATCATTTTTGTGTGTGTAGCATTATGAAGCTGAAGGTGAAATGCTGTGTCTGCAAACTTTCTTTTTGAACAAAAATAGTTTCCGTTCCCAAAGGTAAAATAATTGCTGCCCTGACAGTCTGTATCTTCATCCCTCTCACTTTAGTGTTTGGCTGTTGGGTCCAGATGGAAAGTTTAGTTGAAGAAGACCCTTAACCTATTCAGAGAGAGATACCAAAATTCACAGAGTAGAAGCCTACAACAAATGTAAGCCATGTCATGGTTTGAAAGAGGCCATTTTCTGTTGCTTGAGGCAGTATCTGCTCATCTCGATGGTACTTGCTGCTACCCTCGCTCCTTCCCTGCCTCCCTCTTCCCTCTTTCTGTCCTTCCCCCCTTCCTTCCTTCCTTCCTTCCTTCCTTCCTTCCTTCCTTCCTTCCCCCCTTCCTTCCTTCCTTCCTCCCTCTGAATGTCACTGCATGATGATGATGTCACATAAAATCTAATATGCACTCCATGTCTAACAGTGTAATTTCGATCTCTCCACTCTCTCTAAAACAGGTTGGTTTTGTACTTTTTAAATCATAGAATACAACACTTTGTATCACCAAAGTTTTATATATATCTATATTTATATAGAGATAGGATTTTCTTGTTTTGTATATAAAATTACAAAAGTATTACATGTTTATTGTAAAAAATATCCAGAATACAAAGGTATTTGAGTAAATTTAAAAATCCTTCTTGGGGCGCCTGGGTGGCTCAGTCATTAAGCGTCTGCCTTCGGCTCAGGTCATGATCCCAGGGTCCTGGGATTGAGCCCTGCATAGGGCTCCCCACTCAGTTGGAAGCCTGCTTCTCCCTCTCCCACTCCCCCTGCTTGTGTTCCCTTTCTCTCTCTGTCTCTCTCTGTCAAATAAATAAATAAAATCTTAAAAAAAAAATCCTTCTTTGCCATGTATCTCCATTCTATTCCTCTACTTTTGTTTGCAACACTTTTTTCTTTGCATTGTAAATATAAATGCATAAACACACACCCATCGGGTTTTCAGGTTTCATAAACTGAGGTCATATCCTACATACTAGCTTCAGCACATTTTTCATGTAACAATATATCTTTCCGTGTCTGTGTTAATAAATCTACTTCAGTCTTTTTAATGGCTACATAGGTATTCCATGTTAAGAAGCACATACTTTATAAACCAATTCCACTTAGAAGACCATGTGGATTGGGTTCCACAATGCTAACTATACACATATCTTTGTGCCTGTGTGCAACAATTTTGTAGCTAAGTTCCTAGAAATAGAGTTGCTAGGTCAGGGAACGTACGTTATCAGTCTGATAGACTCTCTTTGTGGCAGTTAGTCTCCAGTGATGGCCCCCACTGAACCACACCTCCTATAGTCACATCTTTAGATAGAACTTTCCCACATTAAATCTGGGCTACCCATCCATACAACCTTAATTGTCATAGTTAAACCTATATATTTTAATCAGCATTGAGAATTAACCTGAATTTCTAACTTCTTTCTCCCCCCTCAATATGACAAGACTGGTAGCATGCTTTTACTTTTCCCTTTCCTCCTTTACTTCCTTTATTTTGATTAAATCATTTGGAATTTTCTAGACTTACTCATTTCTAAAACACTATTCCTCTGTTTCATATGGCATTTCTTAAGAACTGCATCGAGCTTCTTAGCTATGTTATCAAAAATAATTTAGACTTAATTATAAGTGCTAGTTTTCTTCTTATCCTTTTGTAACATGTTGTACTTTTTAAAAATTCCCTTTTGTTTTAAATTCCTCTTTTGTATTTTGTATTTTCTACAACCAGAGGAGATGCCTGGGTGGTAAGGTTCATATATCATTCCATGTATAGCAATATCTTTATTTTTTTCCTTTACACTGGATTGATTTTTATCTGGTTATGACATACTACATTCAAGGTCATGTTTTCTTAGATTTAAAAAGCATTTCTCAATTATCTTTTAGTTCTCAGTCGTTGATATGAAATATGATGGCAAACTGATTTTTGTTCTTTTAGGTAATCCCTCCCCCAACCTTGGAAAATTGTTAGATTTTCTCTTTGTCCTTGAGGTTTAGTATTCTCACTAGGATTCATCTGTGTTTTTGTTTGTTTGCTCTTTAAAATTTTTTGACTCAGTACTTTGTCAGCCATTTTAAGAAAGGACATTCAGATTCTTGGATCTTAAAGCTCTTAATATCAAAGAGATACTGAATTTTCTTTTATCTTATTTTTTGCTTGATAGTTAAAATAAAAAAAAAGAACTAACAGGCTGTGAGAAAAACCAAAACAATAGGCATAGAAGGAGAAATAACATTTGTAGGTCCATAATCTTAAAAAAAATCTTCTCAACAGTTATTTGTGTATACTTTATCTTGACTAGCTGTTCTATATTTTTTACTACTGAATAGACTTGAATATCTAGAAATAATGTTATTATTGTTTCTGGTCACAAAGTCTATATAGTTATTTATAGCCAGACCCAAGAAACTTAGATTATAGAACCAATGTATTCCTGCAGGGGGAGAAATCTACTTTCTGTGCCCCAAAGCCCATATGCTCACTCATTTCCGTAATAAAACTGGAGATGGGCTTGGCCTGACTAATAATTTGGCTCCATTTAGTAAAAAATCATTTCAACAATCTAACAAGTGAGTTTAGATTACATATTTAGATTGCATGAATTTCTGAAGGATGTATTAATATACAACGTAACATACAAAATATCAACAAAAAAGCTTAAATAACATTAAATAGCTTACATATATTAAAAGTAAAAGAGTGGGTATGATTCAATGTCCATAGGCTAATCTTTATCAAATGTTGCCCTGTGCTGTGCTCTTCTCTATGCTTCATGTAAATATCCTTCCTATAATCCTCACATCCACCCTATGAGTCAAGCGCTACCATGACCTCCATCTTACATGGCACGAAAGCTCACGTAGGGCCACACAGTTGGCAAACGACCAATCTGGGATTGGAATTCGAGTTGCCTGATTCTACGGGAGTGTTTGCTTAAGGTGCATTGGGGTAAGGAAAGTGTTGGGGAGCCTGATCTTTGCACCTCACAATCAGAGAAGACATTCTGGAGGTGGTGGTTTCCAAAGGGCTTAGACAGGGGAAGAAGAGAAAAGACATCTCAGGAAAGGACAATTTTTATGACAGAAGAGTAAAGAATGTGACCCATTGGAGAGAATTATAGGTGGTTGTGTATGGATTCAGTATCTGTGTGGTCATCAGCTATTCTGAGACATGGTCAATTTGGTACTTTGGGTTTTATCAGTATGATACGTCTATGCAGTTGTACACTCAGCAGTTCACATCAGTGGTAAAGGTGATTGGAGTAACAGAGCTGGTAGAAATCTGGTTGTTTCAATCATATAGACATAGCTTTAAGATTTGGTTTTCCCTATCTTGAATTGGGCCTTAAATTACCCTGGATTTCAGGCCCATAAGAATTTCAAATCGGTTGTCCACTTATGAGTATGCCCGTATCAAGGAAGAGTGAGAAAGAACACCAGAGGAAAAATGTTAGTAAGCAGTGTACTTTCAATTTTAAGCTGTCAGAGCATTTCCATGAACATAAATGAATCAAGAGGCAGTTGAATAGTTAAGAAAATGCTTTTCACAGAGCTCTTTAAAATTTAACAGGTGTCAAAGAAATTCTACCAAAGAGGCTGAAGTACACTTTGAATGTGTTTTATGTTCAGTGTTACTGCCTGACACAAGGACAGAATGTGAGACTAAGTATTCTCATCCTGGGAATGCTTAAGTTCCAACTCCAGGTTTGATTTCATCATGTACTAGAAATATCCTGGATGATTAAATTAATTCCTTGTGAAAGAATGCACCAATTCCTATAGATCTCATTCCCATATGACATAATGAGAAACTTGCTGTAATGAGTAATATTGTGATTTTATTAAGCCAACCTGCTGTATTTCTATGTGTCATGTTTATTTTGTGGGAGCCAATGCAATTGTGTGTGTTAGGCTTAATTCTGTCTATAATTTGAACCCTTCTCCATTGGAGATCTCTTGATCACTTTAAGGCCTTGGTATCCCTTCAAAAACAAAGACCTTATCTCTTCAGATCTCACTCTGAATTCCATTTGCCTCTGAATTCCAGTCAAAGAAAACTAAATAATCCAATTCCCTGTGAAATTTTTGATGCAATCCGATATTGACATGGATCTCAAGAGTAGTCTATGTGAAAAGCCTGCTCTCTGGCTGGATCGTTGCCCACATTGGTTTTTTTTGTATCTGATTCAGAGCTGTTTAAAACACTATTTCTCTTGAGTCTCTTACATTATCACAGCTTGGCTAAATTGACTTCAGTGGAAAACATCTTGGCATCCCAGTTTCATGAATTTAGGACAAGTAAGGGTTTTGTCAGAGAGAAGTGCTATGATTAAGCACTGATAGGATTTTTAAAGAATGTGATTCGAG